AATTTGCACCTGTTCATATTATCACTCATTTTCATTTAATAGAGGCCTATGGGTAACATTCCCTTGGTTGTATCCACACCCTCTATTCAGGATTGAAAATATGTTGAAGAGAACAGTTTGTTTTATCTCTTGCACATTGCTTTTTGTTTCTGGTATTGCATTCATAGTCCCAAAGTAAATACCGTAATGAATTAATAAGTACCCGGACAACAATGATGAATTAATCTATTTTTGAAGTTCAGTTTTTAGTACAATAGGTGAGTAGTATAGATATTTTTATGATTCTCTTAACTACAGTTGACCCTTGAACACAGGTTTGAACTGCATGGGTCCATTTACCTGTGGGTTTTTTTTCAATAAATACGTACTACAGTACCATACAATTTGTGGTTGGTTGATTCGTGGATGCATAACCATGGATATGGAGGGGATGATTGTAAAGTTATAAGTGGATTTTAGGCTGTGCTTGGGGGTAGGCACCCCTAACCCCCATGTTGACCAGGGGTTAACTGTATATTCATCTACACTAAAATGAAAAAAGGATGAATAGATAAAGAAGATGTGGCACATATATACAATGGAATATTACTCAGCCATAAAAAGGAATGAAATTGGGTCATTTCTAGAGACGTGGATGGACCTAGAGACTGTCATACAGAGTGAAGTAAGGTCAGAAAGAGAAAAACGTATGTTGTGTATTAGCACATATATGTGGAATCTAGAAGAATGGTACAGATGAATCGGTTTGCAAGGCAGAAATAGAGACACAGATGTAGAGAACAAACATACGGACACGAAGGGGGGAAAGTAGTGGTGGGGTGATGGTGGGATGAATTGGGAGACTGGGATTGACATATATACACTAATATGTATAAAATGGATAACTAATAAGAACCTGCTGTATAAAAAATAAATAAAATTAAATTTAAAAAAACAAAAAGGAAAAAGAAAATGCTGAAAATGGCTTACTTTTTATGGAGAAAGAATGCATGTTAAAAATACACTCAAGTAAATTGGTTGGGTTTTCCTTTTTCCTAGCCAACTCTAAAATTTGATAAAAGAAAATTTAAGCCAAGGAAAACCAGGTTCTAAAATTATGGAATACCTCTGGACAATAGAGTATGCTTAGAGATTACTCCTTTCTGCTTTGAGAATGCAGTGCTGGTAACGTAAATGGGATTTTTGAAAGTAGATGGTGGTAACAGAGCCATGCCAGCATCCACAGAATCTATTTTTATAAACCTGCCAGGCTCTCAGTACTTGTCTGAGAAATTCAGGTGATAGACAGAATGTCCTCCAATGGAAAAAGTATAAAACAGGCAAGTTATATAGACTAATTTCAAATGACAGGATCAGTTGCACTGTCATTTATCAGCCCATAGACTTATGAAATAAATGTCATAAAACTGTATGAGGACCTCAAGAATGTTAAAGAAAAATCTGGATATTGCTTTAAACGTGAATAACATGTGTACTGATGGCAATGAAATGAGAAGAAAAAGACTCACGAGGTCTTCCTGTGGTTTTTATGAGAGGGAGAAAACATTTAAGCTAAAGGGAGTAAAACAGATTCAAAAGCATTAGTGATGTATAATGTATAAATGGAACATGAAAAGGCAAAGCACAAAGGGGAAGAATCATCACATCTTCAGAGGAGAGGTCCAAGAGGCTGACTGATTTAGTCATTTTACTTCCCTTTCTGGGATTTCTGAAACGTATACATAATATTTGAAAAGTTTTATGACACAGCCCTATGGGTTTTCCTACTGCTCCCTCCCCCCAAGGGAGCAACAGATATTCTCACTTGGAATGGAGAAATACACTCAACCTGTCAGTATTGTTCAGTCTAGAACATCCTTTACAAATATGAGGACAATGCAGAATTAACATTTGAGAAAAATACACAGCTTTAAAGAAAGTCTAGGAATAAACTCTCTGAGGAATAGACATTTCTCTGAGGAGAATTTATACTGTGTTTAACTGATACCCTTAGAGAGATTCAAGTATGTATTGCAAAGAGGCTGTTTAGTACAGTGGTTAAAAACATCAGCTTTGGAGCCAGACTGCCTGCATTTGAAACCTGATTTTACCACTTACTAGTTCTCTGAGTTCTCAGTGTGCCTTAGTTTCTTCATCCGTAAGATAGGAATAATAATTTTACCTAGTTCATAAAGTTGTCTTGATAACTAATTGAATTAATTAAAAATGCTTAGAACAGTATTAGGCATATAGTAACCATTCAATAAACATTTTTTTAAAATTACTCCTCTTTGTACTTGTCATAGCTTATTATAGTTTTTGCTATTTGTCCATAAAATTTGACAATTAAACAGTTGATTGCTGAAATAAACTCAATTAGTAGACTAGAAACAGCTAAAGATCAAATTAATGAGTTAGATGACTAAGCCAAAAGATTTTCCTTAAACACAGCAGCAAATGAAGGGAGATTAAAAAGTATGAGAGGACAAAACCAGAAGTTTTAACATCTATCTAAGAGAAGTTCTAAATAGAAAGTCTGAGAGAATGAAGAAGAGAAAAAGTAGTGTTTTCTTAAATAATGGAAGGAATATTCCCAAAGTTAAAGAGACTCATATTGGAAGAGTGTACCAACTGCTGAGCAGAATTAATGAAAAAGTTGCATACTGGTGAAGTCTCACAAAACCAAAGATAAAGAGAAAATAAAGCTTCCAGAGGGGAAAAAAATTATCTGCAGAAATCAGATTGATATCAGACTTCTATAAGAAGATTGTGGGAAAAACAGCTTTGAAATTCCGAGGGGAAAATGATTTAAAATCTCAAGTTCTGTTTTAAGCCAAGCTAGCCTCCAAAATTGAGAACAACAACAACAAAAAAACATTTCGTAAATGCAAAAACTCAAACATTTTTTTGAAACAAGGTCCTTAAGGAGGACTAACAGAAGGACATAGGATATAAGAAACAATGATAAGAAGAGAAGCCAACAGACTTAACCCGAGTCAAGTCTAAATAATTAAAATCGTTCTGTGAAGCATAAGGAATATTAGTAGTAATAATAATAGCAATTTGGAGGAACTATTGGATGATTTCTACAAATCTTGGAAGAGGGACAAGAGGAAAGCATAATTTTTTGTTTGGGGGAAGATTATTAACTCAAAGTTGATAGAATTATTTAAGTTTAAATGTTTGTAAAAATAGAAAGGTGAAAAAATTTTAAGCATGAGCTTTAAAATAATAAAATAGAGTTTATAATTTCCAAAACACTAGCGTAGGGCTGGGCAATTGTGAATGGGAACTTTTTTGGTTACATTTTTATGTTCCTTGATGCAATATCCTTGGTATTATTGTAACTTCTTAATCATAATGACAATAACTATTACTTATTGAATACTTTGTGCTAAATAATCTTAATTTATTTCTTACAACAACTCCTATCAGGTAAATACTGTTGCAGCATTATGCTTATTTTTACGTTTGGGGTCAATAAGGGACAAAGGCTTAAAGCTGAACAGCTGGTTTATGGTGGAACTATGATTCTAACCCAGGCAATTTCATTCCAGAGTTATACCGCCTACAAACTGCACTGTGGATGTAGGTGTCCTCAGGTAAAAGAGGAGACATGTAAGAGGGGGCAGGTGCGGGATCAATTCCAGTACAGGCGGATATGACTGACAATAAATAGAGTGGGTGAGCAGCAACTGGACACATTATCAGCAGGACCTATACTAACGTGTGGATTATTTGGGAATATGCTTATTTATATTTGTAGAATACAGTATTCTAGTTTGGACTTAATTCAAACCAAATAAAGTCCTACAGATTTTAAAATCATGATTTAATGATAATTTTATATATTCTTAGGGTACTACAGTATTTACTAAATGATAATAGCTATTATTTTAGTTGTGTTTTTAAGAAACTACCACTCATCCCCTCTAGCTGAACTAGTAAAAGTATACTGTAAAGATACACATGACAATAAGGGAGATGGACTCTTCTGGGATATCCAAGAGGTGAACCCAAAGGCTGGCCAGCCATTGTGGAAGACTATCTTTTGTTCTTGATCACAATCAGCTTTATGTGCCTCAAGAGCAGTTGTTTAGGTCTTCACTATAGTGTGCTACCTTTACTTTGCCTCAGGTGCTACTGTCTCTGTTATCTGCCTTTTTTGTCCATCCATTTGGTCTTATATATACCAGCTTGTTTTCTCCGTGGTCCCAGGTAAAATTTCTGAGAGAGAACATTTGGCCAAGACAGTTACTGTGTATGGGCCAAGGGTTTCATGCTTCATGGACTATTGAATAGACTATTCATTGTCCGCCTTAAGTCAGATATTTACCACAGTAGTTCGTCATTTCTGGCCAGGGAGGGATGCCAGCTGGGAAAAACCTGGCTCGTCTAGAGCTGCCTCTTCAGTAGCAAGGTTGAATTCGCCTTAGAGAAAGGGAATGTGATCACAGCGTATGCTCTAATTAATGTGTTTAGTAGTCATTGCGTATTTTCTTTTTAAAATAACTCTAAAGAAGAGATTACATTGAAAACAGCAATTGGATTTAGAGATCGAGTAGTACAGAAAGGGAAATAGTAAAGACAATGCTTGTATACATGGCCTGAGAACAATCCCGTGCTTACTGCTTTGTAAGCCTGATAACACATAGTCATATATCTCTTGTAGGTAACTTGGTTAAAGTATCTGTTTAAGTTAGGATTGTTAACTTTGGGTGAGTTACTGATAGATAGTAAGGAAGTTTTTCTCCTTGGTATTTTAATAGCTAGGTTTTGCTTGAAAAGAGGTTTTTGAGAATTTTGCAAATTCCAGAATTTAACAGACTCCTTTAAGAATATTCTCTGGTATATCTGTTATTTAATCCAAGATCAGTGCTGAATTTAAGGTATATCATGAGATGCTTATTATGAAAGTAAATAATTTATAGTAAAACTCCAAATCTCTGAAATATTATATTCAGAAATATGTGGATATTGGTATTAAAATTATACATAAATACTTGTTAAATTGATTCTAGGTTGGGCCATGCAGGCTGCGGCCTATATCTTCATTCATAGGAAATGGAAGGATGATAAGAGCCATTTTGAAGACATGATTGATTATTTTTGTGATATCCATGAACCACTTCAACTCCTCATATTCCCAGAAGGGACTGATCTCACAGGTAAGGTACCCTTTGTTTGGATCACAGAATTTTAAAACATGAAGGAACTCCAAAATTAGCTATCTAGTCTAAACTTCTCAGTCCTCAGATGAAGCAACTGAATACCAACAAGATTATTGGCCCATCCCTGGGGTCACTCAGTTAGTCAGCAGCACATCAGAACCCAGAACTCCTGGTTTCCAGCCCATAGAGTTTATGATGGGCAACTCCAAGAGGTATTATTTATACTTGCCATCTTAGAGCTTTATATTTTAAGTCTCGGTATATACTTTAAATATCAGCCTTTTACTTTATATAGTTTGTACGTAACCACAAAAAACCTCAAGTAGCCAAAACAATCTTGAGAGAGAAGAACAAAGCCTAGTTTTAAAATATCTATTCACTGTCCTCTTCCAAGATCCGTATTTATCCATTAGACCCTTTTTTTTCAACTTCTTTCTTATAAGAAAAGGATCTGGGCTTCCCTGGTGGTACAGTGGTTAAGAATCCGCCTGCCAATGCAGGGGACACAGGTTCGAGCCCTGGTCCGGGAAGATCCCACATGCTGCGGAGCAACTAAGCCTGTGGCGCCACAAGTACTGAGCCTGCGCTCTAGAGCCCACGAGCCACAACTGCTGAGCCCATGTGCCACAACTATTGAAGCCTGCACGCCTAGAGCCTGTGCTCCACAACAAGAGAAGCCACTGCAATGAGAAGCCTGTGCACCGCAATGAAGAGTAGCCCCCGCTTACCGCAACTAGAGAAAGCCTGTGCGCAGCAACAAAGACCCAACACAGCCAAAAACAAATCAAGTAATTAATTTTTTTTAAAAAAGGAAAGGATCTAATAGTAACCAGTTTCACTTGTTGATTTAAGTTAGTATGTTGCCTTTTTCCTGTTTTTTAATAATTTATTTATTTTACTTATTTTTGGCTGCGTTGGGTCTTCGTTGGTGTGCGCAGGCCTTCTCTAGATGTGGAGAGTGTGGGCCACTCTTCGTTGCGGCACACATGCTTATTGTGGTGGCTTCTCTTGTTGCGGAGCACAGGCTCCAGGCTCACAGGCCTCAGTAGTTGTGGCACATGAGCTTAGTTGCTCTGCGGTATATGGGATCCTCCTGGACCAGGGCTCGAACTCGTGTCTCCTGCATTGGCAGGCAGATTCTTAACCACTGCACCACCAGGGAAGCCCCTTTCCTGGTATTTTTAAAGCCTTATTTCTAATATAAGCTGGAAAGGCCTTGTCCTTTTCCTAAAGAAAATTCAGCCATCGTTGAGTTGTAGAAGCGACACAGGAGAATATATCTAGGACTTCTCTATCTTCCCAGATACCAAATTACACAGGCCAAGAATGCCAGTGGATCTCAAGGAATTCTTTTTTTTTTTTTTGCGGTACGCAGGCCTCTCACTGTTGTGGCCTCTCCCATTGCGGAGCACAGGCTCCGGACGCGCAGGCTCAGCGGCCATGGCTCACGGGCCCAGCCGCTCCGTGGCACGTGGGATCCTCCCAGACCGGGGCACGAACCCGTGTCCCCTGCATCGGCAGGCGGACTCTCAACCACTGCGCCACCAGGGAAGCCCTCAAGGAATTCTTTAAAAGATTAAAAACAAAATGCAGTCTTTCATTCTTACTAAATCAGTGGGCTTCACATCTTTTTTGAACCACAGGTCATTTCTGCAGGTGAAGCCTTCTATTGCAGTCTAGGATTTCTAAGACGGAGAGAAGAACTGCTCTGGTTGATGAATATTGGTGGGGGAGGGAGTAAGCTACAACAGGAAGTAGTTTTATAGAATCCTTCAATTCAAAAGAACAAAATTCAAAAGCTTTAGTACCCTGGTTACTTTAAGAAGAATACAGCAGAATTTGAGAAGGGCCCAATGTATAAACGTCTGCTGTACCAGGGAAGACAGACTTAAGCAGGTTAGAACTGAAATCTAAAACTCACAGATAGTACGGAGAGATCCCTGTGAACTTGTCTTCTAAATCCTCAATACTAGATCGAGGTAGCTAAGAGCTACCAAGAAAGGCAACCCTTAGAACCTGAGAGGAGAACAAGTAAATGAACAATCTAATTCACTCTGTGGACATAGTAATTTATGGAACCCAGTACCCCCAAAAAGAGTGCAAGATGGAAAATACAAATTACACAACTACTTAAGTAGGTGAATGGGTGACTAAACTGTAATATGTTAATAGGGAAATTAAAGTATTTTGGGAAACATTTACCATTAATACCAAGGAAGAGATCTTTGACTAATGTATGACAGATTGGAACTGAGCTAAATGAAGCACGGCAATTTTTATATACTAGTATTATGTACTAAATTATACTTACTGTATATGTTTGATTTTTGTAGTTAAAATTCTAATAGTAGTTGGGTCACAGAAGGTAATACTGAGTATAATATTGGCTGCATATTGTTTAAGTTTGAAAATATATTGTAAGTTGTAAGTTGATTGATTCCCAGAACTGAACTATCATTAGGAAATTTCAATGGACAGACAGCCATATTTACATTTTTTAATCCTTAGAATGTATAATACTTAAATTTGAGTATTGAAATATCATCTGTGTTAGAGTATAGAAAGTCATTTACTGAAATGATAGATTTTGTGAATGCCAAAATGTACACTAAAGAGTGGCAACTGTGGAAGTTATTTAGTAATTAAACGCTAATGGGATAAAAGCTCATGGGTTGCTGTTACTTTGGTACATTAGTATTAAAATGTTCATGCATTAGACCTTCAGAGTTTATAAAGTAGATATTTAAAACTTTTCAGTCTGTATTTTCAAGTGTCTTTTTTAGGTGATGAACTTAACATCTAGTTGAATATTTTCAGGGTCCAGAGTACTTATTATTACATAATGTAGTTGAATATTTTTAAAGTTAAAACAGTATTTACATTTTAAGGCCAACTTGCAAAAGCCAGACTATTTGCGAGATAGAGGAAATAAATAGACTGATCTTGAAGTTAAAAAAAAATTTTTTAAACAGTATTTTACAAATAGTTTTGAGTTGGGATATGATTTTTTTTTTTTTAAGTAGGCTAGCAAAATACCTTTGGTTTGAAAATGTATCTGTTAACTCAAAGGTGTTTTTAGCCATCACAGTTAACTTTACAGTTGGGTTTTTAAGCCCAAAGAGAATGTTTTATAATCCTCTTCAAGTTGTGAATCCAACTTGTTTGCACATTTTCAAATTAGTACGTTTAAATTAACTTTATATTCTATTTTCATATATTATTGTTGTTTATAACTTTTTTTTTGCTTATGCAAGTAATATATGTTATTTTGGGGAAATTTATAAACATAGAAGGGAGCACAAATAATACTCTAATCCCACTGCCCATAAAGAAGCACTATTCTAATTTTGTTCCATTGTTTTTGGGTCATTTGGTCACACGTGCATGTGCGCACACACACATACACGTATACATACACACATCCATAGGCATATATATGTACACACATACACGTAATTTTAAAATTGGAAAACCAGAACTACACTTTTCTTTGTACTTACTCTTGTATTCTCTCACATCATTAGTCAAGGTTGTCCAGAAAAACAGAACCGTGTGTGTGTGTGTGTGTGTGTGTGTGTGTGTGTGTGTGTGTGTGTGTGTGGAGAGAGAGAGAGAGGAAGAGAAAAAGAGATAATGGGTGGGGGGTGGCAAATTTATTTTAAAGAAATTAAGGATTCTGGAGGGTGGCAAGTCAGAAATATACAGGGTATGTCAATAGGCTGTGACCCCAGGGAAGAGTTGCAGTTTGAGTCCAAAGGCAGTCTGCTGGCAGAATTCTTTCTTGCTTGAGGAGATTAGTCTTTTTCTCTTAAGACCTTCAACTGACTGGATGAGGCCCACCCACATTATGCAGGATAGTCTGCTTTACTCAGAGTCTACTGATTTAAATATTAATCTCATCAAAAAACACTTTCACAGAAACATCTAGAATAACGTTTGACCAATATCTGGGTACTTTGGCCTAGTCAGTTTGACACATAAAATTAACCATCACAGTTGGTATATTATGATTTCCTGTTTTGTTTTAAGAAAGGAAAGCTTTTCTAGGTTTTAACAATTATATAATATTACATGCAATTAAACACCCTTGTATGTAAAACTTATTCATTTAATAGATATATGAGTGCCTGGAGATTTATATACAAAAAAGTCTCTTCATGAGACTTTTCATGAAGCTTACTTTCTAATGAGGAAAAACAGATTAAAAACTAATAATAAAAATATGTGTGGTATTCATAAATGCTGTACAGAAAAGCAAGATAAGGAGAGAGAGAGGGAGAGAGAGTAATAAAAGATGGGGACATAGGGTGCTGTTTTATATAAGGTGGTTTGAGGAGGCCCCTTAAGTTCTTATTTAAGGAGAGACTAAATGAACAAAGCAGAAAATCATGCAGATGGCTGGGTAGAAGGCATTCTGGGAAGAACCATTGCACAGACTCTGAGGTGGGAATATGCCTGGCTGGTTTGAGAACATCCGAGCAGCCCGTAGTCTCACTGGAGTGGTAGGCGTGCTGGCATTGGAGTGTTACAGGGAGCAGGCTAACGAGATAGGAGGTTGTGGTGAGAAAGTGGGGTGCTAGTCTGTCAGTCCTAATAATCATAGTCTGGGGGTGGGTAGATAACGTGGGGATGGAGGGGAAAATCTGCATCTCTGATCTGTGATTATTTCTTACTTCCCACATTGTGCCTGTGCCTTTTAGAACTACTTCCACCTGTATTCACATTCTACAACAGCTTTCAGTTTTGTCTTCAGATCCCCCAAGTCTGTGACCAACTGGAAGAGCAAACTGAAGAGTAGTTAACTACTCTTCTTTGTGGTGTCTCTGGGATTCCCAATCGCATGTAAGGTCCTGCCAGTTGTCTATAAAATACTGTTCTGTAGTCCCATGCCCAGAATATTCCCCTCAAATGAATGTGAGAGGAGCTTATTACTTTTCTTGTTTAGAGCTTTTACTTTTGACTTGCTGGAGATCTGTTTAATTTTTTGACTCAGTTTATAGGAGTGTTTTTTGAATATTTTAGTGTCGTGGAATCCATCTATAGTTTTTTGAGATTTTGAGGATTCTGTGGTCTTAAATTTACTCCACGGAAAGTAGTATTTTTACATATAGGTTTTTTCCTGGTGACTTGGAATGGTCTATAAATTTCAGGATGCCGCTGAGGATTGCAGGTTCTAACGTCTGCTGTCATCAGAAGGTATTTCATGATCTCCCCCAGCAGCTAAGGCCAAATTTCTGAACACTTTACTTTTTCCAAATGTAATTGCTGAATAATGGGTTTGGTTCTTCTTGGAACTTATAAAGTTACCTCATGGAATGGAAAAAGAAGATTTTGCCAACAATTGGAACATATACTTGACTCAGTAACTATACTCAGCCAAACCATGTTCAGATGTTTGTACATGGTGTGCTGATCATGTGCCCATTCTGTCGTGGAGTGGTGTTGGTTAGTAATGTCAGTGTGCTCTGTGCCTGAGCAACGCAGATACTTCACTTTGCACTGAAGCCCTAAATTATTGGGTTAAAAAAATGGTGATCTATTTGGCAAATTGTTAGTTATTTCTTCTGGATGTCTAGATCCTTATGTATTATTACTATTTTAGTTTTACTTTATTTCATCTTTATATTTTAGTATTTCAATTTTTATTATGTAACGACTATTTTATGAAAATTTTAGTTATTAGTATTTTATTTGTATTTCAGTTTTCATTGTATATTGACTATTTTATGAAATCTCTTAAAGAATTTTAAGGATTTGAATATGAATTTATAAACTGCTATAAAACATCTATTAATACCTTATTATAAAATTTCTGAAATTCCAATTAAGTAGGTAACTCTGGGATCTTTGTTAGGGATTTACCAAAGTATTTCTATCTTATCATTTGATTCAGTATATTAATTACAGAAACATTAACTGCCATTTTTATCAAAGAAATTCTGCACCATTTCCTTACCTCACTTATCTTCCTTTATTTTATGGCTTCTAATGGCCTATTGTTTTGTTTAGAAAATAGCACGGCTCGAAGTAATGAATTTGCTGAAAAGAATGGACTTCAGAAATATGAGTACGTCTTACATCCAAGGACTACAGGCTTTACTTTTGTAGTAGACCGTCTAAGAGAAGGTAAGCACCCATCTCAAAGTGTACTTTTTTATATAAGTGGAAGAAATTGCTAAACTTCACATATAACTCTGTTGAATTTACAAAGCACTTTTTCATACTTTATCTCAAGAAATGAGACACTGTATTTTTATGCTAACTTGACCCCATGCACTAAAATGTTTTATTATGTATTCTTTAGAAATATAAAAGAATCTTTGTCAAAAACAAAACATTTTTTCTCCTTTTTTGGAATAGACAGAAAATAATACATACAGTTAGACTATCATTCCATTTTTAAATGCTTCTCAAAGCAGCAAAACTGTCTTGAAAGTATCTTATCACTTATAATATAGTTATTTATAGCTTAAAAAATATTTTTACATTCATTATTCCACTCACTGCAACAAGTGATTCCGGTTGGTAGAAAGGCAAGTACTGCTACCTGTATTTTGTTGTTAACTAGAAGTGGCATCCAGGGTTGTTCATAAATTTTCATAGATCACGGATGGAACCTTGTTCTTCTGCTTCCTACTCTGTGGCTCACACTACCCCCTTCCCACCCCCACGTCCTCTAGAGCCGTGCCTGTTGAAGGGCATCTGGAGCCAAGGTGATTGCATTGACCATATCACACCCATTTAAATGTTTACATTTTGATATTTTTATGAAAAAAAAACAGTTGGACATTTTGTTATAGCTGCATATGTAAATACTTATATATTCATACACACATGTATATACAAATGGATAACAGACATATGGATATATACGAAAAAGGAACTATTCAGAAACATACTGAAGTGTTATTAATTTTACAAGAACAAGTCAAAGCCCAGAGTCACCTAGCAGAAGAAAAATCTTGTTTGCATGTTTCTGCTCTCCACTCTGATTTCTAGCAAACCATATTGTATAAAGGTGACATCTGTGACAAATTATCACCTTCATTTGATAATTGTTATGTTGTCATAAAACTGCTTGTGCCTAACATGAAAGGCCTTGAAACATTATATAAGAAAAGGTATAAATTTCTTACTTCTTACCCTAATTGGCATCACTATTGTTCCCTTAGGGTTTAATGTACTTTAAGATGTAAAGTATAACCTCATTTAGTGAACCCTGCCAAAACGAAGCATCTTTACAACTAAGTACTCATGATATAAAAGAAATGCATAGTCAATCCAAAATCACATTACTATTCGTTCACATAGTAAACTAAAAATATTGTCGCTGTTAGTTTGGCTTGCTTTTGGAATTCGGTGGTTATAACTAACATGAAATGGAAACATGGGCTTTATGGTCATATTGTGTATGAATAGTGAGTGTCCATCTACCCATAGAAGCTCATGGAGAACACAGTTCTTTATGCCTATGCAATAGGACAGGGGGGTACCAAGACATTAAAACAGGGATGCTGCTGCTTTTTGTTTTTTTTGTTTTTCTTCCCCAAAACATGGTACCACTTACTGTGGCATTCAATTTAGACTCTCCCTTCTCATTCAACAATATGTTTTTTATTTTCTAACAATCTGATATTTTATAGTATTTAATGATTACTTTAAAAGTATTTCTGACATCATGGAACATGCTGTTGGAACACATCTTTTGCTAATAAAGATCTTTTTAATTGCAGGCAGGATAGTTGAGAGATTATTTTATAGTGGATGAGGATATAACTACAGAGCTCTCTGTTCTGAAATCTGGAAAATATTTTAGTAGCAAACTGATTTATAACTTTGGGGAACATGTATTACTTAGTCATCACTCAGAGTACTAGTCAACAACTACAGTATGTCATTTTTCCTGCCAGAAGTGGCAACTGATTTTTCCCCCTTCTCTGTATCAGTAAAGAAAGAAACACAGATGACTTCATTTGCTTCAGCTAAAAAAAGTTAGATGACTCCATTTACTTCAGTTAGAAAAGTAGAATGGGTCCTATACACTATGATAATAATAGAAACAAGAAATATGATGACAATAATTATAATAGTAACAGCAGCTAACGTTTACTGAGCATTTACGAAGTACCAGGCATTAAGCTAAGTGTTCTGTATGTGTAAGGTCAGTTAACCCTCACAACAACTGTCCTGGTAGTTACCAGTATTTAACTTGTAGAGCAAAACTGAAGCAGAAATTGAAGAATCAGCTCAAAGTTATTGGAACATGGTTTGTCTGACTGAATAAACCTGTGTTCTTTCTACTGTAATATGATGCCTCGTATATTTATAGTGTGATTTTAGTTAAAGCACCTTTGTAATAATAGTGAGCTGGATGGTTTTCTTCAAGGAAAATATTTTAAAAGAAAGAAGAGGCTAAATGGCCAGATCATGGAGGGATGGGAGTCACAAGGGAAGTGGTTATGATGCTGCCTGAGACGACAGGGAGAGCAGGCACAGTCATCTAGTCAGAGTATCATTTTAGGAAAGAAACCTAAGACTCAGAAAGGGCCCAGCACAACTTCCTGATCTTTTCTGGGATCTGCTTTTGTTTATCAATTAAGTGAAAAAGAAGCTTGCTCTTAAAACAAATGGCCATTATAAATAAATATTCCAATGGAAGCCTGGAGACCACATATTAAAACCAATTACTGAAGAAATGTATGAGGACAAGATGGCAGAGTAGAAGGACTTGAGCTCACCTCCTCTCACTAAAACACCGAAATCATAACTAACTGCTGAACAGCCATCAACAAAAAAGACTCAGACCTACCAAAAAAGATATTCTACACCCAAAGACAAAGAAGAAGCCACAAGGTGGTAGGAGGGGTGCTTTCATGATATAATTTAATCCCATACCCACCAGGTGGGTGACCCACAGGCTGGAAAATAATTATATCACAGAGGTTCTCCCACAGGAGTGAGAGTTGGGAGCCCTATGTCAGGCTCCCCAGCCTGGGGTATGGCATCACGAGGAGGAGCCCCCGGAGCATTTGGCTTTGAAGGCCAGCAGTGCTTGAGTGCAAGAGCTCCACAGGACTGGAGGAAACAGAGACTCCACTCTTTGAGGGCATACACAAGGTTTCACAGGCACAGGGACCAGGGCAAAGCGGTGACTCCGTAAGAGCCTGGGCCAGACCTACCTGTGGGTCTTCGAGGGTCTCCTGGGGAGACGGGGGGTTGGCTGTGGCTCACTGTGGGCAAGGACACTGATGGTGGATGCCCCAGGGAATACTCATCAGCATGAGTTCTCCTGGAGACTGCCATTTTGGCACTGAGACCTGGCCCCACCCAACAGCCTGCAAGCTCCAGTGATTGGATGCCACAGGCCAAACAACCAACAGGGTGAGCCCCACCCATCAGGAGACAGGTTGCCTAAAGTTGTCCTGAGCCAACAGCCACCTGTAAACATACCCCTTGACATGGCCCTGCCCTCCAGAGGGACAAGACCCAGCTCTACACACCAGGGAAGTGTGCAGAAGCCCCTGGACTAACCTCACTCACCAGGGGCAGAAACCAGAACCAAGAAGAATTACAGTCCTGCAGCCTGAGGAATGGAGACCACAAACACAGAAAAGTTAGACAGAATGAGGTGGCAGAGAAATACGTTCCAGACGAAGGACTAAGATAAAAACCCCAGAAGAACAACCAAGTGAAGTGGAGATAGGCAAGATAAAACCCCAGAAGAACCCCAGAAGATAGGCAATCTACCTGACAAAGAATTCAGTGTAATGATAGTAAAGAGGATCTGAGATCTCAGAAAAAAGAATGGAGGCACAGCACACAGCGGATACAAAAATGTTTAATAAAGAGCTAGAAGCTGTAAAGAACAGAGATGAACAATATAATAACTGAAATGAAAAATACACTAGACAGAAGCAATAGCAGAATAAATGAGGCAGAAAAATGAATAAGTGAGCTGGAGGACAGATTGGTGGAAACCACTGCTGTGGGACAGAAAAAAGAGTGAAAAGAAATGAGGACAGTCTCAGAGACCTCTGGGACAACATTAAACACATCAACATTCACATTATAGGGGTCCCAGAAGGAGAAGAGAGAGAGAAAGGGCCTGAGAAAATATTTGAAGAGATAACAGCTGAAAACTTCCCTAACATGGGAAAGGAAACAGTCACCCGAGTCCAGGAAGCACAGAGAGCGCATACAGGATAAACCCAAGGAGGAACATGCCAAGACTCATAGTAATCAAACTGACAAAAATTAATGACAAAGAAAAAATATTAAAAGCAACAAGAGAAAAGCAATAAATAAATACAAGGGAACTGCCATAAGGTTATCAACTGATTTTTTAGCAGAAACTGTGCAGGCCAGAAGGGAGTGGTATGATATACAATATTTTAAGTGATGAAAGGGAAGAACCTACAACCAAGAATATGCTACTCAGCAAGGCTGTCATTCAGATATTACAGAGAAATCAAAAGCTTTACAGACAAGCAAAAGCTAAGCGAATTCAGCACCACGAGACCACCTTTGCAGCAAATGCTAAAGGAATCTCTCTAGCTGGAAAAGAAAAGGCCACAACTACAAACAAAATTACAAATGAGAAAGCTCACCGGTAAAGGCAAACATACAGTAAAGGTAGGAAATCATCCACACACAAATATGATATCAAAACCAGCAACTGTGAGAAGAGGAGAGTATAAGTGCAGGATGTTGGAAATGCATTTGAAATTAAGAGGCCAGTAGCTTAAAATAATCATGTGTGTGTATATACACACACACATATATATGTGTGTGTATATATATATACATATATATGTGTGTGTGTGTATATATATACATATGTGTATGTGTGTGTGTATATATATATATATATAGAGAGAGAGAGAGAGAGAGAGAGAGAGAGAGAGAGAGACTGCTATATCAAAACCTCATGGGAGCTGCAAACCAAAAATCTATAATAGATACACACACAAGAAAGAAAAAGCACCCAGAGACAACACTAAAGAAAGTCATCAAATCACAAAAGCAGAAAACAAAAGAGGAAGGGAAGAAAAACCACCACCCCCAAAAAGAAAACAAATCCAGAACAATTAGCAAGACGGCATTAAGAACATACATCTCGATAATTA